GAGGCCGCCGCAGGCGACGGCGTGGGCTGGGCCGGCTGGTGAGGACGGGGGGCCGCGAGCAGGCAGGCGGGCGGGGGCGCAGGAGCTGGCTGCGTGGGCCGCTGCCGAGGCCCCGGGCAGGGCGGGCGCTGAGGCCCTCAGGATGGCGGTCCACCAGAGGAGCCAACGCCCGGGCTCGGAAGGCCTTCCAGGGCGGCGGGCGCCGTGCGAGGAGGGCCCGTGTGTGGGGAGGCTGCCCGCTGGAGGCCGCAGGGCGGGCGGGAGGCTCCCGCCAGGAGGCCCGGGGAAGGTCTGGGAGGGTCCCACGTGGAGGCCCGGGGTGGGCCGAGGAGGGTCCCGCCACGAGGCCTGGGGAAGGTCCGGGAGGGTCCCGCGTGGAGGCCTCGGGGTGGGCCGGGGAGGGTCTCCCGTGGAGGTCGAGGAGCGGGCGGGAAGGATCCTGCGTGGAGGCCCGGGGTGGGCTGGGGAGGGTCCCGCGTGGAGGTCGAGGGGCGGGCGGCCGACAGGTGGGCCTGGGAAGGTCCAGGCGTAGAGGTCGGTGGGATGCCCTTGGAGTGTCCCGCGTGGGGGCCCGGGTGTGCGCCGTGGAGGCCTGCGCAGAGCCACAGGTGGAAGCTCGCACTGGCGTGTGAGCACGTCCTTCTTGGCCATTCCTTAAATTGTATCTTAAAGGTGGGAATCCGGTGTTAGGTGTTGATGTTTTTACTCCACTGAGATCTAGAAATACGCCTAAGGCCGTGGGGAGCCTTCTAAAGGAATGCCGTAAAAATTGGGACCAGAATATTGCCCAGTACATCACACAAGCAGCTTTTCTGTTTTTGCTGGCGACAGCAGCCTCTGATGGCCTTTCTTGTGCTAGTCAGTAATGGCTGTGAAAAGCAGAAATTAAAACAAGGCATGCTGAAGGAAATAATGTCAATACGTAGCGTAAAGATAGGATGGAAAGATTTAAAACCCGGGGCTAAATCTTTAAAGGGTGGTTTTTCTCTCTACTTTCGTTTTGTTTCCATGAGGTAGCTTTGGCTGGACCACTGTGGAAATGTTTGATAACCATCGTGTGGCATTGGGTTGGAGTGTTGGTTGTGTGTACACTGCGTTACAACAGACAACACAGATTTGTGTCGCTGCCAGAGAGATGGGAAAAGACATTCGAGGTAGGCAGACGTGGAGTAACCTTTACTTGTAGGCCAAATATAATTTTCATTTTCTGTATCTGCTGTTTTTTGAAAAGTTTCTGTGAGTTCCTGTATACCAAAAGTCAGGGTTCTGTGTGAAGAGTTGTGAAGCACTTCATGCCTGTTTTTTATTTGGTTCTCAAAATCCACAAAGGAGACGTGGCCAGGTTGCACAGCCCGGTTTTAAAGTAGAAAGTGGAGTGACTGGTTTAGGATCACGCCCTGGCCATGCGTCTTTGGTGCGCGTGCTGTATTGCAGATTCTCATTGTGCAGTTTGTATTGAGCCATTTCGACTAGATGCTGATGTGCAGTTTCCTGAACTGCAGAAGTTTACTCATTTACATGC